AGGCGTTAAAAAGCACAAAATCGTTCGTCTTCTGGTCAGACACTTTGCAAACGCACAGTATGATGAAATTAAATGTCTTGTTATATGCATCATGTCTTGAAAGCAGTGGAAGACAAGGTCTTGTCTGACTGTTCTTCAAGCGTCTGAGCTGCAAAACGGTTCAGTGAAGATTTCTCGATTTGTATGGTACTGTTATTTTGTGGAGGAAAATGTTGGTAGCTCAGGTAGCGTAGATAGTCGTTGGCTTGTTTGCACAACCACTAATTTACCACTACGCACCACTACGCTCCCCAATAATGCACTGATGTCACCTCGATTGGTGGTGAAACTTTTGCAATCAGCGAACGAGCCAACAACGAGCATATTACATAGTAATGCAATATACAGTATGATGCATGGCCAAGGGGTTCCGAAACTATTGTCAAAATTAGTTTTATGGCTTGCCTGAGATTCCAGAGCAATCAGGCGCTTCCTCAATTGTTACTGTTTGTTCAGTCGTACTTCAGACGGTATGTATTAAGCATGCTTGTTCTCCCGAAAGGAGTACTAACTGAACTGTTCTGTGTTTCTTCGTTCCAGGCTTTCACGATCCCAAAGGGACGTTTCTTTCCTGACAGCTCAGCATTTAGTGCGGATTCTGTCTCTGTGCAGCAGTCATCCTCAGTGCAACCGTCGGCTAACTCGAACAACACGGAAAGTGTAGATTCATCACCACCTCTCCTCCGTTCATCCAGACGAAGCGGCAGAGAATACTCGGCAGCCAGATGGCGCTGGGCCACCCTTTGTCACGTAATCCAACACCTGCGGCGGTTAGTTTCCTTCGAACAGCGAAACGAGGTGACCTATCAATGCGTTGCAATATGCTTCGGACCTGTTCTCTTCGCTGATTCACTCCAAGTGGACAAATTAAATTACGTACGTGGTTTCTCCGTACACCATCATGCATTTTCCAGTTAGGCAACTTGTTCATTCGTTTCATCTGTTCTTATTTTAGATTCTGGAGTGTATTCTTCGACATTGGTCCTGGTTAATAGACGGACTTCCAACGAATGACGCAAATTCTTCGAGTTTGCCGAAGCGGTCACCTCGACTCGAGGACTCTGTGCTCGCAGAAACGGTGAGGTACCTACAGCATTTTGATGATCAAAAATCGACGATGGATCGGTTGTCCGTGTCCGAACGACTCAGTGACTCACTCACTGTGACCAGATTTGGACGTGAGAACACCGAGGCCAGCGATTACCGGAATTCCTCTGCACTGGGTACGGATTATCGTCGGTCGACCCGTATCAATTCCGCAAACGCTATAGAAGGTAAGCGTTTGTCAGCTGGTCTCCTCCCTGGTCAGGTTGCGTTAACTCGAACATCAAACATACGGTCTAACGAGTTTTATAATAACTGGCGCACATGACAGACGAACATGGATGGAGCGCACACTCAAAAGAAACCTCTGGCTCTGTATCTGCTGCAGTCCGTTCCCTCTCGTGTAAACATCCCTACGTCCTCGGTTTTCCGTCTGTGGACCCGACACTGAACCAAAATCGGGATACTAATTGTTGTACAACCATTTCCCATTTTGGGTAGAGTTTCGTCTCTTCCCGCTGTCCTCGAGGCCCAATACCTACTTATGCTTGAACTTAGCAGCCTGACAAGATTGTCTAAAGAACGGTTGAATGGTCAATCGTTTCCGGGTGTAGAGCATAAACTTCACAGTACCGCCACTTGATCAGATCCGAGCTTACAAAAGATTCGAGAAGAGGCTGTGTTTGACAACCGGCGTCCCAGAAGCATCAACCGGGTGTAGCGGTACCACCCGTCTGCTAAACCGTTGCCAGCTAGTTGTTGAGAGCAATGATCCACGACAGATGAACTAAATTAACCGGATGGATAACGCAGCTTAGGCGAGGTGACTCAGTGGTTAGAGCGCGAATTCACTAACTGGAAGATTCGTGGTACGAACCTTACCTCTGCATCTCGACTTCTCCTGTCTAGGTTTTGGCAACCTGTCAGTATCCCAGCCCTCGTGCTTCCTCCGGGTGGCAGCTAGACATCGATTATCTCTTATCTTTACGTCATACATCAGAAGACTTCTGTCTCATAAAGCCCTATTCTTAGGGTGAAAATGGCCGAAAAGCATGAGTTGATCCTGAGTTGGGAATCCTCAGCGTCTGAGCGGTGCTATATCTTGTCAAAGTGCGAGTTGATCACTCCTGGCAGAACGGCCAATTGTTCAAACTAGTAGCCGGGAGGTCGCTGATTCGAGACTCTCTGGAGTCTCGTGAGATGTGCACTGCTGCTGATGCCCAATGGGGATGAAACAGCTGTACACTGCTTCTTGGATTTTCAGTATAAACTGGATCCATTTAAAGGACTGAATCTCTTCACGCCACCAACAATTTATAAGTTGATCATCAAAGGCATCGACAGGTGGATGTTACTTCTGGGACGATGCTCACCAGTGAATATCTCCGACAGACATGGCGCGACCACGCAGCTGTCATACTGTATATCGCCTTCGGCGTAAGGCTGCCTCATTGCCTCTGTAATGAAACGTTTTACGACTCACGTACACGTGTTCATGGACAACCATTAAACATCTTGTCAGGAAGCTAGTTACTCAAATGTCGAATACAATATACATCTAAACGAAGCTGCCAAAGTATGCACCACCAATTCTATTTCGTATTTGAATTGGACACTGCTGGTTGCTTTACCCAGTCAGCCAGCAACCAGTGCTGCGAGATCAGTTAATTCCCACAAAACTTAGTCTTACAATCTTGGAATTCTCCCAGTCCACCTTTTGTGCACATTTTCCCCGTTAGCAACAACACCAAAATCGTTTGGCTGTAGAGTGCTCCTCTGTTTTCTGGTAACTCCGATAAAGCACGAGTGCTCCTGCCAGATTGTCCAGTTGTACTCGTCACAGTTTATCGGAAAGCCGTTTTGCAAAACCGCAAAAAGTTGAGGGAAAGAGTATGGTGCTAGCCTACTGTTGGCATTCCATGGGGTCTATACTGAAGTCAACTGGCGGCCACATCTCACAGTGCCTCTGACCATTCATCGAGAGTCACGTGAACTTCATCCTGAAAGGCGTATCGCACTGACAGTACGCTGTCTCTATCCGTGTTAAACATTTGGTTGAATAACATACTTAGCCCGCACCTGAACGTCCGAAATGTCTCGAGCTCTTTGCCGCTGATCATCTTCACCTTTTGAATTGGACACTTCCACTTTAGACTAGTCTTCCCATGTGCACCACTTGAAGGGTGCATAATTTGCATCACAGACGCGCTCGATATAATGGAACGGGCTACTCTTTTCTGCTGTACCTGATTAGGGTTTGTTGTTCCCGTGTGAAGAAATTTACTTCGAACCAACTGTGGAGTTTTGTAACGTGTGAAATGTATACCATGTTGATGTGCTCTCCACAAGCTTGATTGGTTGAAGATGGGTTTGAAGATGATAGAAGAATTGGACCTCATCATGTGATTTACGTGAGCTGTGAACGTACCTGTGTTCATCCGGAGAGGGCACGTGACCCGCACCCCGTTATGTTCCACATGGTGTTCACTCATCAAAACAAGACTCGTTCACTCAATTACTGTTGTCGTTCTTTAGGTTGGAATGATAGTTACCACAATTCGTTGTCTATCAGGGACATAAACTGGATAAAGAAAAATGTTCTTCATTCGCCCCCAAACCTTGTGAGAGTTTCATCTTTCGGAAATTTAAGAGATGTTCGTGCTTGCTCGGTTTTGCCAACTTCCGGATTTTCACTGAATAGCGATGGCTCACGGTTCTTGAATCTCTCGACATAGGTAGCTATTTACAGGCACCGAAGATACTAATCCACTGGTACTTTGTTGCATATGGCATGCATCATGCTATATTCTTGAAGCGTATCTGCTTACCGGTATCTCGCTCACTTCTTTCGTTACAGATGTCCAAGACTGCGTGAGATCGATTTTGTCGCGTGCTCTTAAATCCAACCGGCAGCATTCTGCTCCTGATAGTGCCACGGAAGTGTAAGTGGTCATTTTTTCTCTTTTAACGATCTTTTTGGCATCATGACTTGCAGAAATAAAATTCAACCCTAACGTACTACTCATGAGTAGGTATGCTGTGATACGTGTTTGTCTACGCTCGTCCTATAGACTTGGTTAGCGTTTCGTGTGAATTATCGATTCATTGCTCGATTGTTCCAGTCTATCGGACTCTGCTGTCCAACTTCCATAATCTTCCCTTCTGACTGCTTTTCCATAGACATTCGTCGTAGGTAAGCATGAATGAGTATTGTGTTTTACCGCTATTTTGTTTTTGAAGAGTCTCGTGTGTATGTGCACGCATTACAGTGATGACGATAGTTTGGCTTGATCTCATGCAAGCACTCGGCCGCCTCGCGGTAAACTCTGTCTCACATCACCTCAAACTAGCTTACTGCAAAACAAACCCTATTTATAAAACACAACTCCGCTCGTCGCTACATCGTTCTCGAGGTTTCTCATGGTTTGTTTGGCTGAAAAAGTTCCCTGTTTTAAAGGTGATCCTGTCCGAAGTGAGACAACAAGGTGAGTCAGGAGTTTTCGGTCTCAGGAACCGAATTGTCTAAGAACTTTTAAAAGCAGTCTCTAGGAATTACATGCGGTGGTGTGGGGGAATGACCCTAGTCGTTTTGGTCATCATCACTGCCCCGTAAGACAAGATGAGAAATTTTCTTTACTTGCCGTTTATGACAATTTTTCATGTGAGCGTTTTCAAAGAGGTAGTACAAATGCCTACGAATATGCGTAGAAAAAACATAGCATTTTGAAATCTGCGCGCATGCACCTGAATGCATGGACCCCAATCAGCTCATATACACACAGCACCTTCAGGGTCTCATGCATGGAAGACCAGGATGAAGTCTTGAATCGAGTCAGCCACGTAGTATCCACATACAGAGGTTCCGGTCTTCAACAGCTTGTCATTTTTGTTGGTGGCCACAGTTTTGTGGTCTCCTAATGCCCCAACATGGCGACATTCGTCGTAGGTAAGCATGAATGAGTATTGTGTTTTACCGCTATTTTGTTTTTGAAGAGTCTCGTGTGTATGTGCACGCATTACAATGATGACAATAGTTTGGCTTGATCTCATGCAAGCTCTCGGTCGCCTCTCGGTAGACTCTCTCTCACATCACCTCAAACTAGCTTACTTCAAAGCAAACTCTATTTATAAAACACAACTCCGCTCGTCGCTGAATCGTTCTCGAGGTTTCTCATGGTCTGTTTGGCTGGAAAAGTTCCCTGTTTTAAGGGTGATCCTGTCCGAAGTGAGACAACAAGGTGAGTCAGGAGTTTTCGGTCTCAGGAACCGAATTGTCTAAGAACTTTTAAAAGCAGTCTCTAGGAATTACATGCGGTGGTGTGGGGGAATGACCCTAGTCGTTTTGGTCATCATCACTGCCCCATAAGACAAGATGAGAAATTTTCTTTAGTTGCCGTTTATGACAATTTTTCATGTGAGCGTTTTCAAAGAGGTAGTACAAATGCCTACGAATATGCGTAGAAAAAACATGGCATTTTGAAATCTGCGCGCATGCACCTGAATGCATGGACCCCAATCAGCTCATATACACACAGCACCTTCAGGGTCTCATGCATGGAAGACCAGGATGAAGTCTTGAATCGAGTCAGCCACGTAGTATCCACATACAGAGGTTCCGGTCTTCAACAGCTTGTCATTTTTGTTGGTGGCCACAGTTTTGTGGTCTCCTAATACCCCAACATGGCACCTTCGAGAATTAGGAATCTCATCGTCCAGCTGTAACACCGCTTCGGTGTCCAGCTACCATGCCACCCAAAGGTTGCATGAGGGCTGGGATACTGCCAGGTTGCCCAAGTCGAGAGGCAGAGGTCGAGTTCGAACCACGGACCTTCCTGTCAGTAAATTCGCGCTATAAACACTTGGTCCGTCTCGCCTCCCAACGCCCCATGGTATTGCTCTCTCGTGACCTGCTCCATTCGTAGCACTTCCCCATCAAACTCCAGTGTAAACAAATGTCTCTGGCATATAATCTCGTTCATTTCTAGCGTTCGCTAGTACCTGGGCATCGTGTATCCGGGAGATTTTTGGATATCCGGGAGATTTTTAGAGCCAACTGATTCTCCCAAAGTAAAAAGCAAATAAAGACCGTTTGAAGGCAGTGGATTTGGTCGTGCAGGATAGTGTGGGAAGGTGGTTACAAGGTCTGGTGCGTCGTTTAACCTTGGTTTCCATGAGAAAATTACCGGATACATTATCAGAGACGAACAGCATTCTAATACAACATTTGATGACAGTACGCATTCCACAAAAATCGCGATTGAGTGATCTGATGACACAGAGAAAAATGTGTAAGGTAGACAGACTACTGACAGAAACCCGGTGGCCCGATCTTCGGAAATGCGTCTCCTACAAGATTATATCAAGACAGATCGGAAAATAACTGAACTTCGAGGTATTCAGTGCATCTTACTTGTGCCAAGGGACAACCGTTGATAGAGATTGGTATTAGTAGTTTTAATCGATCCAGAGGTTGGCCAAATCGCACTTGCCTGCATTCAAATTGGGGAAAATACTTTGGGATCAAAAGCAACTGCCATGGATATTCTTCATCGACAACGTAGGATCAAAACAGGCTTCCCGTCGAGGACATTGTCAGAATTTTCGGTTACAACCGGTGAATCGCTGGGAGTTAGTTCAAAGAGCAGGTAATTCATTTTATGAGAGCCTATATTTCGCACAGTGTTAGTTCTCAGTGGTAGACAAACTAAATTGTCTGAATGAAGATTTACCGGATCGACTGAAATCGCCGCAGACTAAGAACAGGCACGCGGTTTCCACAGGAGTCCAGTATTCCCAGAAGAGCTTTGCAAAATATGCTTGTGGACACCGGGGAAATGTGTACTTTCTCTAGAAGAATGGACCTGTAGTTTCTGGAGGACTTCGGTTTTAGTGCTATGGTGAGACAGTTCCTGTGCAGTGGACCGTATGTGCAGTTGATTTTCCCGTTTGAATTCTAGCCCCGACCCACGCAGATGAGTACACCACCTTCGGTTTTCTCGGCTTTCCAGTCTTGATAGGATCGCATGTGCAGAAATTCCCCAAGGAGAAGACGATCGTCCAGTATGCAGTGGCAAAACTCTCATTGTAGATTTACTACTCACGGTTGGCTTACTACCAAGTTCATCTCCACGTGATCATCATTCAGCTGTAGCACCCTTCCGGTGCCTAGCTGCCATGCCACCCGAAGGAAGCACGAGGGCTGGGATACTGCCAGGTTGCCCAAGCCTAGACAGGGGAAGTCGAGAGGCGGAGGTCGGATTCGAACCACGGACCTTCCGGTCAGTAAATTAGCGCTCTCGTCTCAACGTAACATCACATCTTCGGTTGTGGCAACATTTCAGCGCATAGCTACCAGCCCAATCATGGGTTTAGTATGATCAACTTGTTCGTACGCGAACGGGGACTTCACCTTCATACGGAAGCAATATCGAACTCATTCTGTCAGTTTGTAGACTCTGTTGCTGCTTTCTCAATTTGACACCACACGGTTGCTTCATGGATGTGATCTTTCGGTGTGGTCAGTTATGACAATGGACCGACAACCGAATGTAGATATCCCCTCACCCTAACAGTAGTTCAAAGAGTTCATCATAAAGGAATCCAGACAGTTGAGATCTCTCTGTGGAGGGACCAAATGCCTTTGTTTCGCGTGGCTTATGATCTGAGTTGTGGACAGTTTCTGACCTGGACTGTGCTGTCACTGAGACACAATAACAACCTAGATTTTTGGTCTCAGTTGAAAAATTCTTCAGAATGGTTTGGCAGGAATCCTCATATGGCCTGATAGAAAACTCCAGATAAATTTATGTGAAGTTAGTGTACCGGTGTAACGGTGATGCTACTGATGGGGGAGCTATGCGAGTAGTCTGTTTTCTTCTTGTAAAATCGCTTTGCGTTTCTTGAAAAAGGAGGTTTGTTGCGGAATTTGTGGAGTCGCCTTTGCTTGGAGTTGAGCAACGGTCATTCAATATCCAGGAAAGTTCAGGAAGACGCGTTCAAGAGAAGATGGATGTTCCGTTTTTGTAAAGAAGATGCATATGAGAGTTTTGCTTCCCTGTCCAATGGTCTGTAACTGTTCAGTTGGCATTTTCTAACAAATAATTCCGCAGCGAAGGCCTTCTTCTTTTCACTTGTAGTAATATGAAACTGACGCTAAGATCAAAATTGAAAATTGATACGTTGAAATTAACATATGGTCTTAAGGCTGCATACCGATGGCTTGGAAAGATATTAATTGTGAAAAGAAGAGGGGCTTCGCTGCGCAGTTGTTTACTGGGAAACGCCAACTGAACGGTTACAGAGAAGCAGAACCCTCATATGCATCTTGTTTATAAAAACTGAACATCCGTCTTCTCCTTGAGCGTGTCTTCTCAAAATTCCCCGGATATTTGTTGGCCACCAAAACCAGCTTGAAAGTTCATTTGAAACCAGGGCTATGTGCTCAAACGGGACACAGACTATATTGCTCCTTTTCATGTCAGCGGAACTATTCCAGTAAGTCCACTGTGAAGAAGCAGTGCCTATCCTTGCTCCTGTTTGGACTTAAACTCCCAAATCTGATATATGAATCTGTGAGAATGATATCGGAGTCCACCGGTTCGCTTGTGTTGTTCGGATTAGGCAGGATAATTGCACCGAGGGAATAATGTATGTG